AGTCGTGGTGGTGGTGGGTGGTGGTGGTGGGGGTTGGGGTGGTGATGATGATGATGGTGGTGATGGTGGTGGTGGTAGTGGTGGTAGTCATGGTGGTGGTGGTGGGTGGTTGTGGTTGGGGTGGTGATGATGGTGATGGTGGTGGTAGTCGTGGTGGTGGTGGTGATGATGGTGGTATCGTGGTGGTAGTAAACAACATGGCTATACTCAACTATGTGTTACTGTTATGAATGCTAAATTGGCACTGCACTCATTGGCTTTGGTGAGCTAGAAGAGGTGATACCGTATGTGTTGTCTATATCTGTCTATATCTGTCTAAATCTGTCTATATCTGTCTAAATCTGTCTGTGTCTGTCTGTGTCTGTTTTTTCCTAATATGTTCTACGTAATTATATTCTGAAATAGACATGTGTGTGTGTGTGTGTGTGTGTGTGGTACTGTATTGAGATGGCTTGAGTGTTCTTGTGTCTCGTTGTGTTGTAGGACAGGCTTTTATGTGTACGATCTGGTGCAAAATTTTAATGTTATTGGTGAAGAGTATTATTATTATTATTATTAGTAGTAGTAGTAGTAGTAGTAGTAATAGTAGTAGTAGTAGTAGTAGTTGTTGTTGTTACAGTAAACCCCTTCAACCCAGAATAACCCAACAAAGCCATTACACCTGTCCTTCTTTCTCTGTCAACTTTCTTATCGTACTGATTGGTCTCATTATCTCACCATGGCCTCCTCTAGTGGGAGGCCATGAGGTAAATAAGGTAAATAAACTTTTAGCTAAAAATACTGAAGTTATGGACTAAGAGGAAACCGTTTTCTATGAAGGACAATATTTGGTGTGTCGAGTGCACGTGTACTGAGCGGGTGGGGTGGCGGGCGGGTGGGTCGATAAAGCGCTCAACAATGAATGGGAGACGGAAAAAGAATGGCCCCCCCCCCATTGTTCTTCACTATTGACTGACAACACCAATAACTCGGTAATTAATTATTTGGGATTATAAAAGAATAGGTAATTATAATAGAGATCTTCGGTGGTATTGTTATTATTATTATTATTATTATTATTATTATTATTATTATTATTATTATTGTTATTATTATTATTATTGCCTGAAGAATCTCCACCCCAGCTTGTTTCACTTAGACATTAATGACCCGAAAGCTTATTTTTAAGGGAATGAGGTTAGGTTAGGGTGATTAATCTTAAGGTGAAATAAGCTGGGGGAGTAATCTTCAGGTAATCAAATTTTAATATCAATTTAGTCAGTTTTTTTCATTATACTGATATGTGTTCTTGTGTTTTAATTAATACTGATATAATTATAACATCGCTCAGCAGTTATATACATGACCTGACCTGACCTAACTTTACTCGTACTTTACCGTATCTGTATAACGAGTGTCAGTCATTTCATAGTTATTTGTTAAGACAGCCATATACAGTATATATTTATGTTAATTCAGCCTGTACGTGGAGAGAGGGGCTTTGGTTAGGTAAGGTTTGAAATTATGTTTTTCCGACGGTTTTTGGTGTGTTTTGAACGATTCTGACCTTAATTTCAAATAAGTAAATGGCAGAAACGATAATTTAACCCATTTTTCTCTTTTACACTTGAACTGTATTTCCCCGCGGCTCTAAACTGTGTAATGAGAGGAAAGTTTAAAATTAATTGAGTTAACCTCTCGTAATAATAACGTTTTCTTTGATTGGTCCAAAGTGTGTGAATACTTAAGTCACCCCTTCAAATCCGAGGCAGCTACGTGTACAGTATAATATAGATAGATATAGCGTTATATATATACTAGATAGATAGATGTAGACATAGATAACATACATAGATATAGAGCGATAGATATACATAGATAGATAGATATATAAACATAGACATATACAAAGATAGATTGAGACATAAATCCACATTATTTATTCCTATTTACTGGTTTATGTTATTTAGTGATATATTTATTATTCATTGTCTTTATACACGTTTATTATATCTTTATTTATTTATTCTTCACCATAAATTCTTAGTGTTTGTTATCATTATCAACAATCTTTACATTTCTCTCCTGAATTGATGGTTTTATGTGATAAGAAAAAACAAAGTATATTATGTGTGTTTAATTAGTTACCTTTGTTTTCTGTATACATATGTGTCTTTAAATAACAAATATACTGATTTATTCGTTTTTAATTCAGAGCATACCTGTGTAATAATTAACAGAAACATACGAAATTGCTCTATATATTTCGTTAGGCTTTGGTAGTATACATAGTTTACCTGTATTCTCTACGGAGTATACATAGTTTACCTGTATTCTCTACGGAGTATACATAGTTTACCTGTAATTATCTTCGTAATATACATAGTTTACCTGTAATTCTCTTCGTAATATACATAGTTTACCTGTAATTCTCTTCGTAATATACATAGTTTACCTGTAATTCTCTTCGTAATATACATAGTTTACCTGTAATTCTCTTTGGAGTATACATAGTTTACCTGTAATTCTCTTCGTAATATACATACTTTACCTGTAATTCTCTTCATAATATACATACTTTACCTGTAATTCGCTTCGTAATATACACACTTTACCTGTAATTCTCTTGACAATAAATGAAAACTGACATGAAAATCTTAATTAACACAAATGCATGAGTAGTAAGCGATATCACCTTAATGATTTGTCTTAAGTTAATGGTCTCCATCTTAATAAATCAGGTATCCATAAATAACATACTAATTACCTAACTAAACATCGGGAATAATGAACCATAATTACACAGGTCAAATATTTTCATCTCTAATGGGTAATGGACTAATGGGTAATGGCTTCATCCAGCTAGAATCATGTTTTTTTTTGTTTTTTTAGTATCTTATAACTTTATCTTTTAGTATTGTACAGGAGAAACTAAAACCGGTTCCATTCCATTAAAGACATCTTCTGCAGACCTTCACCGGTGTGCCAAGGTCTTCCTCGGAATGTAGTCAGCTTCACCTCCATCTTGAGTACAACATTATCTGTGTTAACTATGATTTGGAGGACACGAAGTTAAAGTACCTAAAACTAAGACTGATGAAGCGTAGCCGTGGGACTATGGTTGGCTTCTACGGGTCATATTAGTAGCCGTGGGACTATGGTTGGCTTCTACGGGTCATATTAGTAGCCGTGGCACTATGGTTGGCTTCTACGGGTCATATTAGTAGCCGTGGCACTATGGTTGGCTTCTACGGGTCATATTGGTAGCTGTGGTACTATGGTTGGCTTCTACGGGTCATATTAGTAGCCGTGGCACTATGGTTGGCTTCTACGGGTCATATTGGTAGCTGTGGCACTATGGTTGGCTTCTACGGGTCATATTGGTAGCTGTGGCACTATGGTTGGCTTCTACGGGTCATATTAGTAGCTGTGGCACTATGGTTGACTTCTGTGGGTCATATTGGTAGCTGTGGCACAATGGTTAGCTTCTACGGGTCATATTGGTAGCTGTGGCACTATGGTTGGCTTCTACGGGTCATATGGTAGCTGTGGCACTATGGTTGGCTTCTACGGGTCATAATGGTAGCCGTGGCACTATGGTTAGCTGGGTCATAGTAGCCGTGGCACTATAGTCTTCTACGGGTCATATTGGTGGCACTATGGTTGGCTTCTACGGGTAGCTGTGGTACTATGGTTGGCTTCTACGGGTCATATTAGTAGCCGTGGCACTATGGTTGGCTTCTACGGGTCATATTGGTAGCCGTGGCACTGTGGTTAGCTTCTACGGGTCATAATGGTAGCCGTGGGACTATGGTTGGCTTCTGTGGGTCATATTGGTAGCTGTGGCACTATGGTTCTACGGGTCATATTGGTAGCTGTGGCACTATGGTTGGCTTCTGTGGGTCATATTGGTAGCTGTGGTACTATGGTTGGCTTCTGTGGGTCATATTGGTAGCTGTGGCACAATGGTTTGGCTTCTACGGGTCATATTGGTAGCTGTGGCACTATGGTTGGCTTCTACGGGTCATATAGGTAGCCGTGGCACTATGGTTGGCTTCTGTGGGTCATATTGGTAGCTGTGGCACTATGGTTGGCTTCTACGGGTCATAATGGTAGCTGTGACACTATGGTTGGCTTCTGTGGGTCATATTGGTAGCTGTGGCACTATGGTTGGCTTCTACGGGTCATAATGGTAGCTGTGGCACTATGGTTGGCTTCTGTGGGTCATATTGGTAGCTGTGGCACTATGGTTGGCTTCTACGGGTCATAATGGTGGCTGTGGCACTGGTTTGGCTTCTGTGGGTCATATTGGTAGCTGTGGCACTATGGTTGGCTTCTACGGGTCATATTGGTAGCCGTGGCACTATGGTTGGCTTCTGTGGGTCATATTGGTAGCTGTGGCACTATGGTTGGCTTCTACGGGTCATAATGGTAGCTGTGACACTGGTTGACTTCTACGGGTCATATTGGTAGCTGTGGTACTATGGTTGGCTTCTGTGGGTCATATTGGTAGCTGTGGCACTATGGTCTTCTACGGGTCATATTGGTAGCTGTGGCACTATGGTTGGCTTCTACGGGTCATATTGGTAGCTGTGGCACTATGGTTGGCTTCTATCATATTGGCACTATGGTTACTTTACGGGTCATATTGGTAGCTGTGGCACTTCTACGGGTCATATTGGTAGCTGTGGCACTATGGTTGGCTCTACGGGTCATATTGGTAGCTGTGGTACTATGGTTGGCTTCTACGGGTCATATTGGTAGCTGTGGCACTATGGTTTTCTACGGGTCATATCTACTATGGTTGGCTTCTACGGGTCATATTGGTAGCTGTGGCACTATGGTTGGCTTCTACGGGTCATATTGGTAGCTGTGGCACTATGGTTTGGCTTCTGGATCATATTGGTAGCTGTGGCACTATGGTTGGCTTCTACGGTCATATTGGTAGCTGTGGCACTATGGTTGGCTTCTACGGGTCATATTGGTAGCTGTGGCACTATGGTTGGCTTCTACGGGTCATATTGGTAGCTGTGGCACTATGGTTGGCTTCTACGGATCATATTGGTAGCTGTGGCACTATGGTTGGCTTCTACGGATCATATTGGTAGCTGTGGCACTATATTGTTAGCAATGGTACCATGGCAGTGCCCTCGTGGCAGAGTGATGTTGGAGCTCAGATCAGAGGGTGAAGAGAGCTATCATCTCGGGCTGGTGGGTCTTGTTGACCTTGGGCTTGTCCTTCCTCAGGTCCCTCAAGAAGTAGATGCACAGAAGAGGGTTGATGGCGGCGTTGAGGGCTGGCAGACACATGGTGACCGGGAACATCATCATGGCGCCCGCACTGAATTCAACATGTCGCAGTAACTCCCGCACCAGGTACACAAGCCAGTAGGGTCCCTGGCACCCTGTGAATGCCACCAGTAGGGTTATGAGTAGTCTGTAGGGCAGCTTTGGGCCTGGCTGTGACGGGGCGGCCTCGGAGGTGCTCGGCTGGGGGAGGACGTTGGTCTGGTTCTTGTGTACTTGGTGGACGAGGCTGACAAACACCCAACTAATCACGAAAGGAATTGCGAACACCAGGAATATTATTTCAAGACGAAGGACTTGACCTAAGATCGTGTCTTCAGACAGCGGCAGCGACACACAGTGGAAACGTACCCGTGACACCTCCATGAACACCTCAGACTGGAGAAACGTTGGGATGGTGAAGACAATGCAGCCAAACCAGCACACTGCGGACACCACCTTCAGCAGAATGGAGCGATATTTGGCATCGAGGTTTGGTTTACAGGCATCAAGGTACCAGCTACTACTGATAGCTACCAGGAAGACAGAGCTCAGTAGGGGTGCCATGATGGCGACCGTCGAACGCATCTGGCACATTACAGACCCATACAGCCACGAGTCCTGCAGGTGCGTCCCAGCGTCGACGGGAACGGTCAGGAGGAAGAGCATGTCAGCGATGGCCCTGTTGATGAGGTACCAGGAGGTGTGGTGCAGGTGAGTGATGGAGGCCACCATGAGAGACACAGCGAGGGTATTGGTCACCAGACCCGCCCCACACAACACCGCCATGACCCCTGCCTCCTTCGTCACCAGCGCGGTCATGACAGCCTCCCACGACGACTCTTCCCTCCCCTGACATTCTTGACACATGAGGGAACAATTACTCACCTTTCCCGGGTCACCATACAGGTCTGGACTGGTCATTATCCTGGGACAGTATCACTTGACCTGTACTACGACCACTACACCTGCCTCACACACCTCGTTCTCGCCTTCACCGTGACCTCCCCTGGTGTATGGTTTTTCTGTTGGACACTTGATCTGAAGGCCCTTACTCCTGGCGCACCTCGACGAAGACGTCACCTCCAGTTAAGTGTATTGTCGAGGACCCTCACGTGACGCAGCACCTGTTGGATGTATGTTTCACCCGTGATTAACACATTAACGCTTATTGTACCGGTGCTGCTTAACTCTCCAGTCTCTGAAGGGTCATTGTACTAAAGGGTTGTCATTGTATTAAAGGGTTAAGTCATTGTACTGAAGGGTTGTCATTGTACTGATGGAATTAAGTCATTGTAGCAATATGTTTTTCTTTATGTAGCTGACATGGTTGTTTTATGATGCTGACAATATGCTGACAAATGAGTTCGCTCCTGTTATCGTTTGTGCCTTAATAATGTAGTTTTGTGGTTCACTGTCAGCACTGTTTGTTTGTTGCTGACGTTATTGACCATATATCTTACCTAATGCTGTGTTGTTGCTGTTGATACTGCTGACGTTCTTCTCTGATTATGATGATGATGATGATTTATGTTGTTGAAGTCGTCGTCCTTCCCGCTGACGTCTTAGAGGGGTGAGTGCGTGTCCTGATGCAGGGAATAATCCTTGGGAGTCCTGCTGCTGTACCCGGCCGCCTTGGATAGGTTGCCACACACTTCCTTATATAACAAACCACTTCCTGATACACAGATACATAGTTCAGCACAGCATATACATTACACTATCCTCACCCGCTTAAAGAGATAAATAGACGATAGTTAATAATAGAATGAAAACAAATGAGAGAGAAGGAGAGAAAAAGAGAGAGGGAGAATCAGATAGAGAGAGAATGAAATAAGGCACAGTGAACAGGTTCTGTACGCGTGTGTGTGTGTGTCAGACGAATAAGTGACCGAGTTCTGAATTACGGTGTAAAGGGATGAATTGAAGTCGTTAGAGCCAGAGATGGTAGTAACCAACCAACCAACCAGCCAGTCAGCTAGTCAACTAACCAACCAACCAACCAGATGGAGGAGGATAGGATGGTCTTGTCCGCCGTGTTTGGTTAGACGGGATATAGGTTTGGTTAGATTAGTTTGAGTAGGCATAGTTTGGCAGGTTAGGTTAGGTTAGGTTAAGTAAGGTTAGGTAAGGTTAGGTTAGGTCTCCTTTCTGACCGCGTAGCATCACTGGGAAACGTGGGTTGTGTGTGTGGTGCGGAAACATGTGTATTATGGGCGTGGGTGGTGCGGGAACACGGGTCATAGGGTGTGAGCGGTCTGGGCGTGGGGTGGTACGGGCGTGAGTGCTGCGGGAACGTGTTTATATTAATGAACGTGGGTGATGGGAGAACATATGTGCTATGGTCGTGGGTGGTGCGGGCGTGGGTGGAGCGCTAACATGTGTGTCAAGGGTGCGGGCGTGGGTGGAGCGCTAACATGTGTGTCAAGGGTGTGGGTGGTGTGGGCGTGGGTGGAGCGCGAACATGTGTGTCAAAGGGCGTGGGTGGTGTGGGCGTGAGAGGCCCTTATGTCACAATATACCCTAACTGCTGCAGCGTTGAGCAACACCAAGTAACGGGAGCCTGTGGTGTAGGGTGGAGTGGATTAACCCTCAATCTCAACCCTCAGCTTCTCTCCCATCCCTCAGCCTCTATCCCAACTTCCCAGTATCTATCCCATCCCTCAGCCTCTATCCCAACATCCCAGTATCTATCCCATCCCTCAGTATCTATCCCATCCCTCAGCCTCCATCCCAACATCCCAGTATCTATCCCATCCCTCAGCCTCCATCCCAACTTCCCAGTATCCATCCCATCCCTCAGCCTCTATCCCAACATCCCAGTATCTATCCCATCCCTCAGTCTCTATCCCATCCCTCAGCCTCCATCCCAACATCCCAGTATCTATCCCATCCCTCAGCCTCTATCCCATCCCTTAGCCTCTATCCCAACATCCCAGTATCTATCCCATTCCTCAGCCTCTATCCCAACTCCCTCAGCCTCTATCCCAACACCCCAGCCTCTATCTCAACACCCTAGCCTCTATCCCAACAACACCAAAGCCTCTATCCCATCCCCCAGTCAGGATATATCATTGGAAAATAGGGCATCTTTCCTTTGCCTCTCCCCCTGCCTCTCACACACTCGCCTCTTCCTCTTTTCCTTTTGTTGTCTCTCTCTTCAATAGTTTTTCGTGTGTGTGTGTGTGTGTGTGTGTGTGTGTGTGTGTGTGTGTGTGTGTGTGTGTGTGTGTGTGTGACATCATAGTTATGTCATCTTAAAGAATCCATAATAGGTGTTATTTCTGTTGAAGATTGTCCTTTGTAATATTAATACATGTATACAACTACTTTTTTATTAAATTTCTCAAAGTATTTTTTTGTTACTTTTCTATTAGTTGTTTGTCTCTTATTTAGTTATATCCTGATCTTGGGGTTACCTGGGTAACTCCTTTGTTGCTTTTCAATCTTCAATACTCAGGGTAGCTGCCACTACCCAGGTTTTACTATCAGAACAAACTGTATACCAAAACATATTATTAACCTCTAAACCGTAGTAACATGATACAACCTTACCTCTCGTCACCTATTAATATTATACCCGTTAACACTCTTTGCAACACAGGACACTTTGGTAATCACATTTTGAGTGGGAATAATATAATATATTTGAAGGCATGTGCCAGATGGATTCAAACACTGGCGTGCGTCCACACTCAATGAATCCGTGGCTGAACTCTCTTTGAAGATGAGTCTTGGCTTCGGTCTGTACACCCAAACACCATAGCTGCACACGTAGGCCTACTTGGCTCGCTCCCTGGCTTGCCTACTCAAACATATTCCTCAATACATCCTGCCTGCACTAGCCACTGACCCTCGACAACCCCGGCCAACACATACAGAGAACAAGGTGCTCATGGCTGCGCCCTCTGTACCCCGTTTACACAGTCAGGAATTTTACAGACATATTTATTGGTCTCATTTACGGTACACATTGCCTTATGAAAATTAGTTTGATGGTTCTACATTAATCCTTGAGTCTAATCCTTACAATTTAATCAGTGTTTAAACTTGAAATGCATCAATTAAATTGGTCACAAATACTCAGATTGGCATACACAATTCTTGTTAAGTCAGCGTTAAAGACATGTAATGAAGCACCCATGGCCGTTCGACTGGAGGCTTTGATCAATGATTAATGAGTTGTTAAATAATCCAATAACAATCACTTCAATACAGTCATCATATTCTCTGATGGTTGTGAATCAAACACAAATATCGTCTGTGTTGAATGAATATCTCGTAACTTCACAAGAGACAAAAACAGTTATCATAGATTTAGTTGGGCATTTACATACATTATTTGAGTACAATTTTCACTATACTTAAATAAGCTTTTAACAAACACCTACTGAATCTTGGATGCTTCAGCTACTGCTAGGTACACATCACTAACTGCTACTCCTACAGGGATAGATTACAGGACTAAATATAAAATGACTGGTACCTTTCACCACAAAAAACAAATCTCTCTCTCAAGGGGTAACTCGCTCATCTCACACATGTTTTATAGACGACAGAGCATAATATGAATGTGTGGATGTTGAAATATTATCAGTGTAAGTATGTCCATGGCAGTAACACCTTCATAGCTTCTCTTTCACTATTGATGCTTGATGTACTGTACGTGTGTCAGATCTTTAGGCCTTGAGGCGGTTTGTATGAGGAGGTCTTCACGCCTTGTGGAAACTCAGGGGTACTCAGCCTCTGTACGATAAGTTGGGTTACGGTCACGGTAGACTCACCCGTTCAGCCTTGATCGAAGTGATTAGTGAATCTGCCTCCTGGTCTCTATCTCCAGTAAGGTGTTCCTCAGCTGTTGTCGTTGTATTGTCAGTGTGGAGACAAATATGATGAGGAATATTAAACATGTAAGCTCATAATGATAAGAGGAAGCAACTGGTGACAACAGTGAGATGTGAGTTGCCATTTGGACAACTTGTTGTTTACCAATTATCATAACTCATTACTTCAACATTCTCTTATCTGTAAACAACATTTCACGTTATAACATTTCGAATAACTTGCTTGTTAATGATTGTGTGCCCTATTTGTTACCCTTCCAATATTATTACATTAGTAACTCTCTACTTGTTCTTTTATAATATTTACATTTATCGATATTTGTATAATGCCTGAAATAATACTCATAATAAATAATATTAGAATTTGTACAAATTAATACTCAATGTGTCATATAAGGCAATTGTTGCCATTTTTTGTTTTCGCCCCACTGCTGCCATTAATCACATATAAGGCAATTGTTGCCATTTTTTGTTTTCGTCCCACTGCTGCCATTAATCACATATAAGGCAATTGTTGCCATTTTTTGTTTTCGTCCCACTGCTGCCATTAATCACATATATGGCAATTGTTGCCATTGTTTGTTATCGTCCCACTGCTGCCATTATTCACATATAAGGCAATTGTTGCCATTTTTTGTTTTCGCCCCACTGCTGCCATTAATCACATATAAGGCATTTGTTGCCATTTTTTTTCGTCCCACTGCTGTCATTATTCACATATAAGGCAATTGTTGCCATTTTTTGTTTTTTGTTTTCGCCCCACTGCTGCCATTAATCACATATAAGGCAATTGTTGCCATTTTTTGTTTTTGCCCCACTGCTGCCATTATTCACATATAAGGCAATTGTTGCCATTTTTTGTTTTCGCCCCACTGCTGCCATTAATCACATATAAGGCAATTGTTGCCATTTTTTGTTTTCGCCCCACTGCTGCCATTAACCACATATAAGGCAATTGTTGCCATTTTTTGTTTTCGCCCCACTGCTGCCATTAATCACATATAAGGCAATTGTTGCCATTTTTTGTTTTCGCCCACTGCTGCCATTAATCACATATAAGGCAATTGTTGCCATTTTTTGTTTTCGCCCCACTGCTGCCATTATCACATATAAGGCAATTGTTGCCATTTTTTGTTTTCGTCCCACTGCTGCCATTAATCACATATAAGGCAATTGTTGCCATTTTTTGTTTTTGCCCCACTGTGCCATTATTCACATATAAGGCAATTGTTGCCATTTGTTGTTTTCGCCCCACTGCTGCCATTAATCACATATAAGGCAATTGTTGCCATTTTTTGTTTTCGTCCCACTGCTGCCATTAATCACATATAAGGCAATTGTTGCCATTTTTTGTTTTCGTCCCACTGCTGCCATTAATCACATATAAGGCAATTGTTGCCATTTTTTATTTTCGTCCCACTGCTGCCATTATTCACATATAAGGCAATTGTTGCCATTTTTTGTTTTCGCCCCACTGCTGCCATTATTCACATATAAGGCAATTGTTGCCATTTTTTGTTTTCGCCCCACTGCTGCCATTAATCACATATAAGGCAATTGTTGCCATTTTTTGTTTTCGCCCCACTGCTGCCATTAATCACATATAAGGCAATTGTTGCCATTTTTTGTTTTCGCCCCACTGCTGCCATTAATCATATAAGGCAATTGTTGCCATTTTTGTTTCGTCCCTGCTGCTGCCATTAATCACATATAAGGCAATTGTTGGCATTTTTTGTTTTCGTCCCACTGCTGCCATTATTCACATATAAGGCAATTGTTGCCATTTTTTGTTTTCGCCCCACTGCTGCCATTATTCATATATAAGGCAATTGTTGCCATTTTTTGTTTTCGCCCCACTGCTGTCATTAATGACATATAAGGCAATTGTTGCCATTTTTTGTTTTCGCCCCATTGCTGCCATTAATCACATATAAGGCAATTGTTGCCATTTTTTGTTTTCGCCCTACTGCTGCCATTAATCACA